CACCTCCTTTCCTTTCCATACTCTGTCAAATAAATATCTTCCTCTGACCTGAGTCGGAGTCCTGCCTATTGCTGAGTCCAGTCGCTCTTTTGGTGTGCGGCTTGCCACAACAGTAATGAGAAATATTTGTCTGTAGCTGCTAAATGCTCCGCTGTGTTGATCAGACAGTTTGTCTCTTTTGTCTATTGCTGGTGCCGAGTAGGTAATGTGCTGTGAGTTTCTGGAGCTTTTTCACTAAAAACAGCTGCCTCTGAATTAAAAAGAAGCTGTGAGAGTGAACCAAAACAGTTGTGGGCTCAACAGGTGTTTTTGGTCTCTCTCTGTAGATCTAACAGGGAACTTGGTTTGGAAATACACACTAAAGTTTACAGATGTTTGTTTCAGTGCTTTGAGAAACGCAACTAAAATTCATTCATTGTATTGAGTTAGTGGGTTGCCAGTCGACACCACAGCTCCCACCCACAGCCTACAGTGAAAGCTCCCACCAGTTATCAACTGCACAAAAATAGTCGATACTCTTCTGCGGGGGTCTCAGATTTGAAAACCTATGGTAGCTCCTCAGTAGAAATGTGACTACTTTCATAATTGTGTCTTTAAATGATTTTAAATAACAATTAATAGCTCCTGGTTTTTGGATGTGAGAGGATCCCTGCTTTTGTTGATCTTATGTTACATTAAACTTTATACTTTTGGGTTTTAGAATATTTCTTGCACAGACATTCGATGACATTTTTGTCATGAACATGTGTCACTTTTCTGATCTTTACAGACTAAACAATGGAAAAAAAGTTAAAAATCAAAATAATCATTGCAGCTCTACTCACAACTAAAATTTGCAGGGTCTGTTACAGCACCAGCTTCACCTATGGCCTCCACTCAGCTTTAGCTTTCAGCCTCCAGCCAGTGCAGGTCCAACAACAGTCTGTAGCCTCAGCCTCAACTCAAACCTAATGTTTTTGTCCGCTACCTACAGCCCAAGTGTCTGCCTGTAACTCCTGGCAGCCAGTCAAATGACATGTTTATGTAAATATCAACTTCCCGTGAATATCATTTAAAGGCCACACTGCAGCAATCACTGGCTTACAATTTGCACTTGGGGACTTGATGGATTTACAAGTCATATTCCCAGTCAACCTTGAGCATGAGTGATTAAGGCTGAGGATTTCACTTGAACTGCTCAGTGCGTAAATACTGATCATTATGCAATGGAGCACAACTCATTAATCACTGCAACAATGTTTTTATCAATGCACTGTAAATTTTGCTTTAAAACAGCAATGGGGTGCATGATTAAAGTTGTCAGAGAATCTGGTTTTTAAGGCTCAAAATAATTTTTTTTATCTTCCTTGAAACTTTTTCACAAGAGTTGGAATGAGATTGTTTTAGGAGTTTTAGTTTATAGTACCTGAAAATATTTACAGAATCAGAATCATGTTTATTGGCCGTGTATGTTTAAATAAACAAGGAATTTGACTCCAGTAAGTTGTAAGTCACCAAGAAAAAGGGGAAAAGTATGAAGAATAGGAGAAAAGAGAAACAGTCTATTTATATACATGTGTTCACTTTCTGATTGTTATGCACAATATTTATATTTACAATTTATTACACTGGGGGCTGTTGTCCTGTTATGCAGATATGGGTTAACTGTTCATCAGAGTGACAGCCCAGGGGAAGAAACTTGTGCCTGATTGTCTTGGCGTACAGTGACCTGTAACGCCATCCAGAGGGGAGGAGCTCAAACAGATTGTGTCCAGGGTGTGAGGGATCTGCAGGAATCTTTTGACCCATGAGGTGTACAGGTCCTCCACGGAGGGCAGGTGGCACTGATGATTCTTTCTGCAGTCTGTTCCTGTCCCGTTTGGTTGCTGAGCCAAACCAGATAGAGATGGAATAGCAGACAACAGACTCGATGATTCCTCTGTAGAACTGTATCAGCAGCTCCTGGGGCAAGTTGAGCTGATATAGGAAGTACATCCTCTGCTGTGCCTTCTTGGTGATGGTGCTGATGTTGGATGTTCTTTCTCTCTCTGTTTTTCCTCTGGCCTTGTTGCAATCAGTCCTTCAAAACAGAATGCCCCTGTCTTTTCTGGATCAAGCTTCCAGGGTCCAGCCCAACCGATCAAGTCACCCTGTTCCACATATGAAGGACAGACAAGAAAAAAAGTAGACTAATCTTCTCTTATTTCTCACCTCTGTTAGCTGGCAGCTAAACAGGGTCCCAACCTCTATCACACCTAGGAGATTGGATTGGTTTCTCCACTGCAGCGGACACTGGAACCAGGAGGCGAGCGGAACAAATTCAGTCGTATGTGCCTATGTATTTCTGTGCTGTTAGTGCAGCAAGCCAGGAGGCCATAATGATGGTTGCTGCACCTTAAAATGCACTGAGAGGGACATTTTCATGCTCCATCCATCTGGTGTAGCATTCTCATGTTTTCTGATGAACTCACAGTCCAAAGAAAGCTGTTAGTCATCTCAGCACAGCATTGTCCTTTGTTCCCAAGATAGACTGTATTTTGCTTGATTAAAGTCATCAAAGCCTTGGAGCAAAGCTCTTTGTTAACCAAGAACAAACTGATAAACATGTTGATTATACTCTCCCAGTTAAATCAGTACAAGCAGACTGCTGTCACATTATGACTCGGGAACAAATGGGAAAGCTTTTTCTCTCTGTGACTTTTCCTTCAAAAACAAACCTTTAGCTCCTGCTGTTTCAGAAATGAGTGTGAAGCCTGACAGCACAGGATGTTGGGGACACCTGTAATCACATAAATACACTGTTCTCACTTGACTCAAGTATGTGCTGAGAAAAGCCAGGCTGTGTGTAGCCTAGCAAACACCAACATGTTGAACAAGAACAAATAAAACCTGTGAAATCATACCATATTATATAGTAGCTACATTACATTTTGATGTCATTTTTAAATGCTACACTTATTCTTACAGTGGCTATAATAAATATGTTTTAGTCAAAAAAAAAGAAAAGTCAATGCAAACTCACCATGAAAATGTGAAATGGATCACTTGCTGTGATTAAGTACAGATACAATACAATATGCAGCTCTCCTTGACTTCACAGAGCTTCATAGTGAGGTTTGTTCAGCTGTCTAATCCTCAGCTTTATTGTGTTGGTTCACTCTCATCATTCGCATATCTTTGTTACTGGCCACTGCAAGCAGAGGTTTTTAACTCACTGTACACTACAGTACCTGTACAGCAACAACAGTAAAGACACAAAGTAAACAACTAACTGATGAAGATACTGGAGCATTTAGCACTGAAAGACCCAAATATTCCTTCAGGAGTAGGGACCAAAAACAGAGCTAAAAGAGAGTAAAAGCTGTGTAAACCTAAAACTGTTTGCTGACACATCAACTTAAAAGATTATAATAATACTGTGATGTTAAAAAAATACCACCTTTTATAATGATAATGTTAATTTGCCATTTCAGTTTAGTAGGTTAGCATGCTAACATTTGATAATAAACACAAAGTCAGCTGGGGGTAATGGAGAGTTTTGCAAGTATTTGATGATAAATCAAAGAACAGGACAAATTAACTAAGGACAAATCAATCACTTTGACTGATGATGGTAGGCTACCACAGAAACATAAGGGGAGAGTTATGTGGTTAGTTGAGAGTTAGTTGTTTTGTTAGAATTAGTGGTCAAAACAGCATAAGTAGGCTGTCAGATCTGTCATGCAAAACCAACCACATAGTCTCCACTCCTATAGTCATGTTTCTTGTAAAAGTAAATCGAGATGTATGAAAAGAGATGTATGATTAAAACACAAATCTCACCTTTAGATGGCTTAGCCGAGTGTCTTTTGGCATCTTCTCCTCCTTCTGGTCTGCCAAGTAACAATTTTCTGGTGGTCTGGTTCTCAGTGCCACTAGACAAGTTGGGGCCCCCCCCCCCCCCAAAGCATTACTCTATTATTATTATTTCTTGGCCTATGCGCCTGATGTAAAGAGGTTTCTTGGGGAGGTGCATGCACTTCTTTTTAAATTATTTACTTTTATAAAAGATGTGATGACTAAGTGGTTGGTTTTGCATATGTGCGTCCAGTTTGTTTGCCTGCTTTCATTAAATTGTTGTGCATAGCCATCTCCCAGATATTTCTGGGAGAGTCATCTGGGCGTGCTGAAGGGAAAAATCTAGATCCATGCTGCTACTTAGCATGAATAAAGTCAGCAGTAAATTCCCTTTACCACAACCAGCATGAAACAGCAAAGGGACAGAGTTATCTACTAACTAGTGCACATTTAGCTATGAAGCATTTTAGTAACTTGTGGTTCATTGTTTTGCTTTTACAGCTTGCGACATTACTGGTTTGTTTGAGTCTCATGGGCCTCTTGAGCCCCATTTACCTGGCCACCACCAAACATCACACAAAGTTAGCAACTAGCTGGTGAACATATAGAGCAGCTCAAGAGCCAGAGCCAGGTATTTTCCTTAGGAGTCAGTGGAGACCAAAAAACAAAACAAAAACAACAACAAAAATAACCCCCCCCAGCAAAAAAGAAAGGAGTGTGAAAATTGTACTTACATTCATGACTCATCTGCTAGATGGATGTGTAGCCTAAATAAGCAACCATCTGCTAACAGGTTTGTCATATTTAATGAGATGCCCCTATGGGTCGACTATTCTAACACATTCTTGCTTTAAAAGTAACATGTTTAGTTTAGTATTTTACTAAATATTACTGTAAATGAAACACCTCTTCAGTGTTTTTCTAACTTCACTTTTTTGGTGCTTTTATAGCACTTTACTGTTAATTTTACTGACTTTTTTTTTTTTTTTTTTTGTCATTAGAGCAAAGATACACCACAGCTTGCCCTGATACACTGGTTGGATTTTTTAACAAAACAAACAACATAAAAAGAGTGGGTAACACTGGTTCGCGTGTAGAAAAGGTAGAACACAGATTCCTATTAACGAAGACTTGACATGAAAATATCGGTAGCTATGTGCTATGACGAGTTTTCCGCATGGTATGTGTAGTTTTAGTGGAGTTAGTCTGTGTTTATATTTTGGTGTGTGACGACTCACTGGCGGTGACGTTTCATGACGGGCTCTTCGCCCCAACAGTGCATTCTGGGTCCATCCCAAGATGGCTGCGCCCTTGGAGTAGTGCTGAAGAAGTGTCTCTCTGGGGGGGGATTCTCGGGTTTGTGTGTGATTTCCGCCAATATTGTTGCACCTTATAAGCCCCCAGGGCTGCCGGTTTGTTGGAGAAGACTATACGACCCCAGCCATCGGTAAGTGCAGCCGGTGCTTCGTGTGGCTGTGGCAGACTATCCGTGTAAAGATGGCCCTTGTCACCAGCCCCTTCCCATAGCGAAGAGCCGTGGGGAGAGGAGCCGCAGATTCTCCTGCAAACACGCACCTGTCCAACTTGGATTTGACGGGTTTGATCTACTATACAGGCTGTGGACACTGCCCTACAGTTTTCTGACCAGGATTGTTTGCGCCACCGTATCGGTCATCGTTCGGAGACGGAGTGGTTCCCCTTCCCGGGTTGATACTTCCACCGCACCAAGGTTTGCATCTGCACGTTTCGCTGCATGCTGCCAGCGCCATTTCTGCACGTCTGCTTTGTTTTACTCATTACTCGTGATGTTTGGCAAGCTACTTGGAAAAACGCATTAAATCGCCCTAGCCTCTCATGCAGTTTGACAGCTGACTGATAGCCACGGAGAGCTGCCGCGTTAGCTGCATTAGCCTGGCTAACTTGGCTTACTGACCAGTTTATTTGTCAGCTGTTCGTTAGCAAAGTGCTACGGCTGTGAACTTAAGTTCAACATAGCCAGACTCCTGGAGTCCCATCATTGATCGAGGTGCTGCTCCCTGTCCAGGTGTGAAAGTAACCAGAATTTTAAACAGAATAAAATCAGGCAGCTAATCTATGAGAAGTGAAGTTGAGTGTTGAAATGACGGAATCCAGATATTAATGCGTTTGGTTTCAGTAGTTGTGATCAAGCAGGAAATTCTCAGCAGAGCAAAAATGACTCATAATCATCGTCCCATGAACCGAGGGAACTTTGTTTAAAGGTCATCGAGTGCAAACCTCAGCAGCCACAGAAGTTGTTCAGATTCTCACATTTTAGCCTGTCTAATGTCTAAACATGTGAGTGAGCACAGACCTACCTGATGTTTCTGCAGCCACTTGAAGTGAATGTATTTTTAGCTTGACATTAGTAGGAACCGAAAAACAATTCTGCTATGGTAGGAATGTATAAAGAGGAAGAGATGGAGCCTGAAACATCACAGCGGTGCAAAAAGTCTTTTAGATGGAAGTTACTCTAAGATGGCTTTGTTGCCTGAATCTTTTTAGACTAGTGCCAATACAACACCTGCTTTCTTGATATCTTACTGTGAAAGCACATGATTTTAAAATCTACAAAATTTTCATTCTACTTAGGAACAATGTGATCAGAGAATAAGTAAACAAAATTACCACATTCAACTGATCAAGAACTTTCAGTACTTGACTTTTTTTTTTTTTTTTTTTTAAATTTGTTACAGAAATTTTGGTTGGTACCAAAGAGTACGGAGTTATGGTACACGACCCTATTCTGTACATATTTTCTATTTATTGTCTGATTTATTAATTTTTGTGCACAAGCCCATTTCAGTAATTGTATGCATTGTCCCCAGAGCATGGCTTCACAGATGTTTTAGGTTTGCCAATATTGTGGCTTCCTCTTGCCTACTGATTTGTTTATAGCACCCACACATGGCATTCAGAGCCCGAAAAATGTCTTCAGTTAATTCTCCAAGTGATGTCTGAAAGAAATAATTTGATCTGCTTATGGCTAACTTGGATTTTTAGGTGAAACCCCACCAGGCAGTTTCATTGTTGCTGTAAGAGTAGAGTACCGACTGCACCTTAAATGTCATGCTGTTGCTTAGTGTTAGGGTAGGCCAGAGAAACTCATCCAATTCTGTCCCCCCTGCAGGGCCCTGATGAAAATGGACTCAGACTTACTTCATTCACCAGCTGTGGGCCTTGCTGAGGAAGAAGAGGCTGACATGAATGACTGGAAACTTCCCCTGGCCTTCATGAAGAAGCGGCACTTGGAGAAGATTGAGGGGTCCAAGGCTTTAGCACAGAGCTGGAGGATGAAGGACAGGGTAAGTTTTCTGCCCATCTATGTCTGGAGCCATTCAGGTGGATAAGGATGCTCTCTGTGCTAAGCACTGGTTTGCGATTGAAGAAGTGCTGTCAGTGTGCAGAACTGTTGAGGCTATAAATGTCTGACTTGTGCAATAGCTGCAGTTTCATACATAAAGTTGTCTCAACTATGTTACTTTTCAAAGGCTGGCCTAATGAAAGAGGAAATCCAATTTGATATTCATTGATCATTTATTGTTTTTAATTCAAAGTCCCACTTTGAATTTCTGATGTACCAGTCAAGGATACTTTATTTAAAAAAAGAAAAAGGTCAGTAATATTCTTTATTTTTGTGAGCAAATTCTGTGAAAAGACCAAACTCAACATTGAATTGATCTTACTAACAATGTATCAAATAGGGATGGGCAGTGATTTTTGAATAGTCATTAAATTACTATTTCATGTGGCTATGGTTTTGTCTTTAAAAACAAAGAGCCACTGTTTGCCCTTGCTTTTACCAGCACCTGGAAATAACGCAATAAGGAGGTCAATATATCATTTTAGTACAGCGCCAAATACAAACAGCAGAAACACTGAGAGACAACAGCCATCAAAAAGTCTTTGAGAAAATCAATGACAGTGAGATGCAGTGCAAAGGTGAAGTTAGCATGTCATAAATCGACAACTATTTACAGCCATTTGAAGATAAGGCATCCAGCAGAAAGTGTGGTGAGGTCCGCAGATCAACAGTCTGGCTATAGCTTTGTTACCCTCATCACAAAGATGAGAGTAAAGGACATGTTAGCTTCATCGAGGGGGAGGGTTGTTGAAGTTTGATGGCATTTATTCAGCCGGAGTATATGTCCCATCTAGAAAAACAGTCACGGCACGACTAAGCTGTATGACGATAATGCATGTGAACTGCGCAGTTGTTTCATAAGTGTTGAAAAGGTGTTTCTGACCACGGATACATGGACAGCGTTTACAACTCAATCCTATATGACAGTCACCTGCCATTATATACAAAGTGCTGTTCTTCAGACTAAAGTGATGCCAGAGCGGCATGCTGCTGAGAACCTGGAGAAAGTGCTTTCCACTGCCGCAGAACACTGGGGACTTCCAGGTGAAGTCGAATAGTTCTCAGCGAATATCGAATAGCATTTTAGCTTGAAATGCCCATCCCTAGTATGAAATGTATTCCTCTGTGTCATAGAGCTTTATTGTTGTCCAAGATCTACCAAAAGAGACATCACTGAGCCGCACTTTTGGACTGTGCGCTGTTCTATCTTTACCATGAAGACACACCCACACACTGTAGTTTATTTTTAGTCAGTCTCATTTACACCATCCTGCTGGCCCAAATACTTATTGGTGCACCAGATATGGATTAAAGCACTGCTGAAACTAGACCCCCACAGATTCAGTGTTTACTTCCTTTTGAGTCAACATTTGCTAAAAACTATAATGTCCGGCTGGTTTAGAAATTGACCGAGCCTTTCTTTAAAAGTCTTTAAACAGGCGGTACACATGCAGCAAATCACTGGTTGCCCTCATCTTTATTATAGTGCCAGTATATTGTATTCAGCTGGAGGTGACCCGTGCTATGATTTCACAGCAGAACCTCATGAGTGACTACGGTGTGTTTCAGCTCTCATAAAGCCGTCGTTCGATCCATTGCAGTGCCACCAGGCTGATTATTTCATTGCCTAATGGCTACATAGCAGTACTGTTATAATGACGGCAAATGCCACGCAGTCATACATAACCCTCACTAACTCTGCACCTATTGTTTAAATTCCTGTGAATAAAGATTTTCCACCTCGTTGCTGTTAGGACATCAGCGGAGCTACACCACAATGCTGGCTGAAGTGTCGAGCTGCAGGGAAATGTTGAAAAAGGAGCCATCATTAAATGTGTAGCTGCTATTGATTTAAAGGAGGTAATAGTGGCGGGCTGAAATGGGCTTTCCTATCAGAAAGTCATGCTAAATCGACCGTGCAAGATTTGCCATTGCCCAGAGCATTTTCAGCCTGTGGATGGCCATTTGTACACTTGTAAGAAGAATGTACTTTCCCATTTCAGGGCTCAGAGCTTTGTTTTCTGCAGGAAGACTGGCTTTGAATGCAACTCTGGCCTTGGATTAAATCCATCTTTTAAAATGTCCATAACTGCAAGATGATAGACTACAATGCTGTTTTACAAAAATAAAATATTTCTGAATAATGTGATGGGGATATCGGTGACAATGCACACAGAACCGGCTTGCTTTGTGTAATTCTGTGTATTGTTCTGCTCTCTTTTTAGAACAAACACTGAGTACTCAGGTTTAGTTTTTCAGTCACTTTGGCAGTTGTTGTGTTTTGCCCTCATTATAAAGCACCCCAGGGGTAATGGCGTTCTGATACTGTGCAGCACCCTGGATGCAAACATCATCTGATGGCATACAGGTTCACATACAGCTCCAAACATTTTCCTTTCAGTTGTTCATGGATGGTCGCATACAGTTCTGTCCATGGTATTGTGTTGGTTGATTTTTAGCTGATGAACAGGATATCAAGTGAGATAGCATCCAAACAGTTAAGGCATGAGGAGAGTGCAGACTGAGCTGTAAATGATGCTCTGGACTGTGGGGAAATCAGAGGTCTTGTAGATACATAGTTGTTCTTAGTATGAAGATGGGACAAGAGCAGGTGGGTGTATAACTGCAAGGCCTATTGGTTCAAATGGTTTGGTTATTCCCTGTTGGGCCCACTACTTGTGTGTGTGTCTGCACAGCTGTATGCTGCTGTGCAGCATGATTGTGTGTATTATTGCTTCACCTGCCAAGTGGAATCATAAGTTATCAGATACACTTTATGAATAACTATCAGTATTGTACAGAAGAGTCCAGCGTCCGCTCTGTCTTCAGGTGACAAGTGGCTCCCTTTAACTATAACTGTTGATTAGAAAACGATCAAACGATCACTGAGTACTATTTTTAAATGAATGATAACTGCTTTAAAAGGAGGAATGTTCCGAAAGTTGTGGCTAGACCTGGTTGAAGTAGTCTGTTTCCTTTAATCTTTCAGTGTGGAATAAAATAGGGGTGGGAGGAAAAAAAAATAATGAATCGCATTAGAATCATGATTCATATCTTCTACAATTCTAAATCAAATGCTCAAAATAAAGTTTTTTTAAAATAATGTTGATGGAGCAAAAAGGGTGAAACTCAATCATGAAGCCACTGTAGCCAAAGGACAGCGTGCACGTGCAAGAGTTGTACAACACAACTATATTGTAACAAATATAAATGTTGCAATAAAAATAGAATTGTCCATGGTGCTCATCACTAATGCATTATTAGTGTAGTTACCTGCACAATGCCTTATAACAAGGGCCTGTAAACAAAGCTTTGATTTTGTATTTGGGTTGAGAGTTTGGGGCCTTGAGGGCATCAGCTTCTGAAACTAGTGTGTAGTGATCGTTAATAAACAAGAATCATGGAACACACCGAATCACATCAGTCCTCCAGATGCTGTAAAACAGGACAGGTGTTTTGTATTCATTGGAGCACAGTGTGTGTGTGTGTGTGTGTGTGTGTGTGCATCTTTTTTCTTTTTACTGTGTTTGCGATTCTTTGTTTTCTTCATTGACAAAGTTTATTATTATTATGATTTTGTTATTAAGGATGAAGTCATTAACCTGCTGGCTTTAGAGAACAGAAGAGTAAAAACCTAGGCCTTAATCAGAGCAGCAACAAGGTGGATTTCCCTCTATCGGTTTTTACACACATTTCCAGTTTTTCACTTAAAAAAACTAACTTTTTCTTAAAAATTTGCAAAAATATTTTAATGCTTTACTGAGGTGGAAAAGCTGGTGTTTCAATTAAAGCAAAATCTTACAAACTAAACCGACTTAGCAAATTGATCACAATGTACATGAATCACGTTGACAGAGGTGAAATGGTGGGAAACCAAAACAGATCTGTGTGGAGCAATGGGGAGATTGTAATGGTCTTCAAATTAATACATGAAACAAACAGAAATTCCAGATATCCGTCATGTTTTCTACATTTTTATTTCATCATTTGACTGACACTCCTTTAATCTTGGCCATCTTGTGGTGCCCTCTTTTCCTGCAATGGTTTAATGGGACCCCATCGTAAAACTGGTTCCACCACCAGTTTATCTTAAACTCCTGCCTATCCCATAGTGGATGGAAACCTGTTGATGAAATATCTCCTAAGTAGTTAAATATGTCTTCTCCCATTTCATCCAAAAACATTAATTTGAAATGCATAGGCAGCCTGTCTCAGAGCTGGATGTGAGCTGACCTACCCTGCATGCACAGAAACCTTTTCTCCCCAGTTATTATCAAGCTTCACAATCCCCTGTAGAGCTGTAAGCTGGGTGACGTCAGAGTGGCTTGATGTTAACTTTACGTCCACCCCTTCCTAGACTAATATTATAGCCTCCTTATAAAACCTGACAGCGTCCTGTGTCCAACTGATTTGTCTCCTCCTGATATCCTGTGAGACATAGAAATGACGTCACTGAGGCTTATTTTTAGGACTGTTTGTGTATGGGAGCAGTGCGTAAAGGTGGATCAGAATTGGTCTTACTTGCCAGTAATAAATGGAAAGGATTTTGTTGTAGTGGCAACTGTTTTGAGACAAGGGGACATGAAAGAGGACGATGAAGGGTGTATAATGGACTGGAGAGGAAACACTGTGAGCATAAGCAATAGGAAGTGGCACAGCATGTGCATATGGTATGGATTAGGCAGTAACAGTTTTGGCTGGCTGCTGTACTGTAGGCAGCACCCTGTATTTTAGCAATTTAAAATGCAAATAAAGAGCAGGTATCAGTGAACATAGAAATGGATGGCTGTGTTTTTTTAATGAGGGACCTGTTGCAGATTACATACTACTGTACAAAGTATAGGGTTACTGAACTCTGCAGTGCTCATGCATCATTAGGATGCGGGAATTTGCTTATTCATAGATGTTGGAATAAAAAGATCCATGTTGTTTATTGGAGGC